TGCTCAACCACTGAGCCTCACATGCATAGTTTTATGTATACACTAGAGGCCCAATGCATGAAATTTGTGCAAGGGGCTGGGCCCTCGCAGCCTCAGCTTCATCCAGAAGGTAGTCCGGAAGGACGTCTGGTCTAATTAGCATATTATGCTTTTATTATTATAGATATGCATAGACTCATTCTACACAAATGGGGACATAATTACCATACACATCATCTTCCCTTCTTACCTTTCACTGACATAAACAATGTTAAAAATCTATGTTCTTATATAAAAACACATAGGGTTATTTTGTTATTGTTTTTAAAAATGGAGCCCAGCCAGTATGGTTCAGTGGTTGAGCATTGACTTATGAACCCACAACTTACTGGTTTGATTCTGGTCAGGGCACATGCCCAGGTTGCAGGCTCCCCAGTGGGGGGTGTGCAGGAGGCAGCCAATCAATAATTCTCTCTCATCATTGATGTTTCTCTCTCCCTCTACCTTCTTCTCTGAAATCAATAAAAATATATCTAAAAATAAATAAAAAATGGAATCTATATACGTGTCTCTCTCTCTCTCTCTCTCTATATATATATATATATATTTTCATTTATCACTTAACAATACAATTTAGAAACCCTTAATGGCTGCATTAATTGTCCAATTAGAGATGTAACACATTTGGTTATTCACCTACTGATAAGCTTTGTGTTCAGTTCCCTACCCCCAACAATACAGTAACCATCTTTATGCGCATATACAGATCTTTACCCAAAAGAAAAGACCAATTCCCATGTCCAACAACAATGAATACAATCCATTTTCTTAACCTTTAGATGAAAAAAAAACAGCTTCACTTTAAGACAGTGGTTCTCAACCTTCTGGCCCTTTAAATACAGTTCCTCACGTTGTAACCCAACCATAAAATTATTTTCATTGCTACTTCATAACTGTAATGTTGCTACTGTTATGAATCATAGTGTAAATATCTGATATGCAGGATGGTCTTAGGAGACCCCTGTGAAAGGGTCGTTCGACTGCCAAAGGGATTGTGACCCACAGGTTGAGAACCGCTGCTTTAAGAGGAAGAAGAAAATTTTTAAAAATTATAAGAAGGGAGATAAGCGAGACAAAAAAAAGGGAAAGGAAATGAATTTAAGAGACTGCAAAAGAAGGTACTGCATAAAGTGAAAACAAAATTAACCGAAAAGACACAGAGACCTTGGATCTTTGTGTAGCTACTCCCCATTCCAGGAGATGGACTTAATGCCATGCTTCCAAAGACCAGTGTGTGGAAAGTGAAAAACAGTAACCACAGCAAAGAAACCTGGCTGACATGACCTTAACTAAGAGGTGCAGGCTATGAGAAACAAGGAAGGACTGAGAACTGTCACAGAACACCTGGCACTAAGGAGACTTGCTGACTAAATGCAACATGATACCTTGGATTAGATACTGGAACAGAAAAAGGACATAGTAGAGAAATGGTGAAATCTGAAAAAAATCTGGAGTTTACTTAATAGTTAGGTACCAATATTAATTTCTTATGTGCTGAATAATGTGCCGCAGCTGTGTAAGATGTTATCCACTCGGGGGACCCACTGAAGGATATACAGGAATTCTGTACTATCTTTGCAACTTCCCTGTAAATCTAAACTTACTCCAAAATAAAAGGTTTACTTTTAAACAGGAATTAAATCTAGCAGTTTTAATTCAGATTTTTGTAATACGCGGGTCACATATAGACAACAACATGGATAAGTCTCAAAATAATTATGCCAAGTAAAAGACAAAAAAAAAAAAATGGTCCATACTGTTTGATTCAATTCTTATAGAACTCTAGAAAAGACACACTCATCTCTAATGACAAAAAGAAGGTAAGTGGTTGTAAGGAGTGGGGGACCTGAGTAGTCTTAGGGAAGCACATGGGTAAACTTTTTGTTGTTGTTTTAATCCTTACTTGAGGCTATTTTTCCCATTGATTTTCAGAGAGAGAGAGAGAAGAAGGGAGAGAGGGAGGGGAGGAGAGAAAGAAACATCAATTGTGAGAGAGAACATCGATTGTTGTCTTCCGTACGAACCCCCAACTGGCGATCAACCCGAAACCTAGGTATGTGCCCTGATCAGGAATCGAACTGGAAACCTTTCAGTATACAAGATGATGCTCCAACCAACTGAGCCACACAGGCCAGGGCTCCAGTCATTCTTATTTTCAATGGAAGTTCCTCAGCTTTTTATAGCTAAATTATTCTTAAAACGCATCCCAGTTTCTCTGTCAGTCAAGGTTTTCAACCTAACAATACAAAAAGTCACCTTGAAAAATCAAAGATCTAAGTCATAAAATTGTTAACTTTGGCCAAAATGAACTAACAAATGTTGCTTCAATTAGTTGGATAATTGTAAACCAAAGCAAAGAATTGTGGCATTGCAAGTAAATGTATGATTTCTGTTATTTCAATACTGAAACTAGGCACTGGTTTCCTCAACCCAACCTAACCACCAATATTACCTCAGAAGCTTCCCGAGGGACTTGCCAATGTGCCAGGTTAAGATATACTGCAATAATCTAAAATTTTCCTCTTATACAATGTCTTAAACAAATCTACTAAAAGTATATCACCAAAAAGTACCGAAATTAAACTCCTTTTGTATTGACAATCTCATGCAGTTCAAACTGGTTTTAAGTTACAAAGCATGTATGAAATAATGATAATTTCCAGAAAGAATCCTATATAATAAAAGCCTAATATGCTAAGTGTCCGGTCAACCATTCAACCAATCAAAGTGTAATATGCTAATGATATGCTAAGGCTGCTCAACTGCTCGCTATGCTGTGCACTGACCACCAGGGGACAGACGCTCCGACCGGTAGGTTAACTTGCTGCTGGGGTCCGGCTGATCAGGACTGGGCTAGACAGGCTGGACACACCCTGGAGCCCTCCCGCACCCCTCCCTGGCTTGCCAACCTCCCTTGTCCCTCCCAGGCCCTGATTGTGCACTGGTGGTGTCCCTCGGCCTGGCCTGCACCCTTTTGCAATCCGGGACCCCTTGGGGGATGTCAGAGAGCCAGTTTCGGCCCGATCTCACAGGCCAGGCTAAGGGAGCCCACTAGTGCACAAATTCATGCACCAGGCCTCTAGTATGCAAATAATTAACTAATTAGAACCCTGAAAGTTCAGGATATTTTACGTGAATCAATAAGCAGCATAACTGCCTTAAAACCTTCATGCAGGCAATGAAAGACAATAGACAATATCTCTTAGCTTTGATGAGAAAGATTAGGTTCACCCCTATTCCTTTGATCAAAAAGTTGTCCTGTCCAAATTGGGAAGGCCACTACTTGCTTTGGTGACTCTGCAGCTTAGGGAGGTAAACAGCTAATGTCACATGGAAGGAACAAAACTGCCAATCTGGTCAGGTCAACAAATCAACTCTCACATACTACACACCAAGACTGGGCAGCCATAAAATTTGAACCTTGGTTGGACTCAAAATATAGACCAGCAAAACATTTTACAATACAAGGATTTACTGTCCTTTTATGATTAGGAGAATAAAGACAATGGAACATGGGAGTGACCAATGAATGATTGCTATAGAAAGCTTAACAACTATTTTTTTAAAAAATTAAAATATAACACATACATACATGTATTCTGAATTGTGAAATGCTTTGCAGTGGTTCTCAAACTTCCTAATGCCGCAACCCTTTAATATAGTTCCTCATGTTGTGGTGACCCCCAACCATAAAATTATTTTCATTGCACCTTCATAACTGATATTTTGCTACTGTTATAAATCGTAATGTAAATATCTGATATGCAGGATGTATTTTCATTGTTCGTGACCCACAGGTTGAGAACCGCTGCAAAGTTTAAAGTAACGATTTTTCCTAACAAGGTCCTCAGATTGTTTCATAGGAAACAGATTAACTCATTTATCTTCATTCCACCAAAATCAGGGTGCCCCATTTGAAATAAGGTCTCCTAAATTACTACACTGACAATTCACAGTTGTATAGTTATGAACAAGTTACAGATTCTCTCTAGGCTAAAATGCAGACAAACCAAGACTTTGAGGTTTCACACTGTCTGTGGTTTCCATAGCAAGACCAAATGGGCTCTGTATAATCCATACTTCCTTCCAGCAGCCTTGATTGATAGCCATAAATTTTCTCATTATTTTTAAATGACCACAGCAGAAGATTATGCAAAATATGTGATATTCTTAAAATTGTTCAAGCCTTGAAGAATGTAATCTGTCCTCATTAAGCCTATATAATATATTAAGCAGCCATAAGTGATGGTTTTCTCCATGCTTCTAAAGACAATGATAAAAATGTTTTACATACCTATAGGTGAAAATAATTGTCACTCCTAAATACATATTAAATACTAGTAACTGTTATTCCTAAATACATATAAAATATCACCCTAAAACTGACCATACATGGCAGTCCATTAGGACATCGATTTTCACCGGTGTGCCTCAAAAATTTTTAAAACATATCACTGACTATTTAGTCAAAGGCACTGACTGCTTTTCCCTTCCAGTGGTTCTCAACCTTCTGGCCCTTTAAATACAGTTCCTCATGTTGCGACCCAACCATAAAATTATATTCGTTGCTACTTCATAACTGTAATGTTGCTACTGTTATGAATCGTAATGTAAATATCTGATATGCAGGATGGTCTTAGGCGACCCCTGTGAAAGGGTCCTTCTTTGGCTCTCGGGACACAGAGGTTGAGAACCGCTGCGACCGTCAAATAAAAAAATGACAACAGCCAACACAATAGCCATCCAGTGTGAATGAATCAGAATTATACCTATTTTTTTTGTCAGATTGGCAAAAAAAAAATTTTTTTTGGAGTGCCACAGAATTTTAGTAATTGGCTGAGATGAAAACTGTTGAAAGCCGCTGCTGAATCCCAACCAGTCAACACTCTGCAGTCCCCCAGCCCACGTGCACACTCTAGGCAGGGAAGGGATGGGTTTAATTGTCCCTCTTCCAGAACCTTACTCGTAATCGCTACTCGCAGACGAATAGGAACTTGAGTCGCCGGCCCTATCTTCACGATAACAATCCTCTTCTTTTGGCGAAGAGGGGTTTCCAGGGAGCCCGGTAGGGCTCTGACACGAACCGCACAGAGCCGAAGTCGCCATCAGGAAGGATGCTGCAGCCGAGAGCAGAGTAATTCAAATCCCGCAGCCAGCGCGCACCAGGGCCGCCATGTTTCCTCCGCGAGAGACGCGGCAGAGGCCACGTGACCTCCAATCCTCGGCTGCCATTGGTGGGAGCTCGGGTTGCCAGGGAGACGGGGAAGCTTCTCCGGGAGAACTACGAAGACTGAGAGGAGCCAATGAGCTGAAACTTCTGGGAGGGCGTGTCGGAGGACTGGAGTAGCTAAAACTTCCCCGCGTGAGGCTCTCCTGAGCGCACTGCTGCGAATCTGATTCACTTACTAAGACAGGTGGAGAGCCACTCTGTACCCCCACCGCATTTCTTCCAGTTTGCCCTTTGTTTCTGCGCCGAAGCTTCAGAGACGCTCAGCCTGCGTTTCCCTTGAGGTAAAGGAAACTGCCTTCTGCCTTTCCTCAGGGCCTCTGCATCTAATCAGGGAATGGAAGCAAAGCAATACCCTCCAGGTGCTCATGTAAATATGCACCCTCGTTTCTTTGGTATTCTTATTGTTTCGCATTTGCAAATATTTTTACAGTTTTCTCAAGCAGATGTTGTAGACTGGTGCTTCACATCAAGGAAAAATGACTAGGTGTGTTTTTTTGTTTAATTTTTCCTCTTATACAAGGCTGAGCTGAAGCAAGAATTGCAACATAAAAGAATAAGTTTTAAGAAATGTTCTTTCACACTAGATATGTTTGAGGTATGTCAACTTCCTTGGCTAATTTATTTCTATATGTTAGTTTAATAGACAAAATGTCCCCCCACACCCAAAGATATCAGTTACCTTGATTTTTTACAGAAGAAATAAGTAGCAATCATTTCAAATTCTTATTTAAAATTTCAGGGCACGGTATTAGCTAGTCACGTTTCTAACTTTATATGTCATATTTGTACTAACTAAATTAATATTTAGCAACTTTAGGTGTATTGGAGAAGATGAAGAAAGGAAAAGAGTAAGATGCCATTTTCAGGGCCTTTCTAAACATACTATTTTTGTCTGTTTTATAATT